GTTTTTTTTATTTAATAGTATTTTGTAGAGCGCATTTGATCTTCCAAAGGAAGGGATGGTGGAAAGCTAGGTAACATTGGGAAGTTTCGATTCAAGGCGCGGAATTTAACATATTAACGCTTGGCAAAATCTAGTCAATTCAAGTTATAAGATTAAATTGACCTCTACTGGTAACAGGAATTATAGTTGGAATCGCAAGTTGCATGTATCGTATTGCGGGTGACACCTTAGAGAACAACAGCAGTTAATAAGTATCTATTGGTATGAAGAAAAATGCAAATTAACACTTGCTGCGTGGTTTTAAGCTTTCTTATTAAACTCCTTGTTCTAGTCATTTTAAGCTCGCAACCAACTTACTACAGCAGACGCCATCAGCTATGAACTCGTAAATTACATGACTAGCTGGTTTTATGAAAACAGTTTTATAGCTAAGTTATTAACCAGAGTTTATAGAGTGCCGTAAACTGCCACTTATAGATAAGTCGTGGGCTTATACAACTCTGTAAGGGCTTTTAGTTAGTCTTATAAACGGTGGGGCTAAATCCGAGGGGGCAAATAGGTTTTTCATTTACTGGTAATTAAGCTTTAAAACATGATAATAAAACAAATTTAAAACAAGGAAAGCTAGAGGGGGGCTTATAACCAGATGTATGCAGGAAGACAGGCCTATAACCGGGGGGTTACAAGCGGGGGAGGGGAGGGGAGGGTTTATTATAAGAGGCAGGTTACAGTATGCATAACCTATCAATCTGTAAAATGTTCCAGTATCATACCGCTAGGAGTCTCGCACTCTGATATGAATGCAGAGCCATGATATTAACTCAGCAAACGCAGCACTAAGTTAAAGTTAAACACTGGAGATCAGCTTACCCTTGGACCAGGGGGACCTAGTCCACCAGGACTTCCAGTTCTACCGGATGGTCCCTAGGTAATGAAACAACAAACATTAATCTATACATATCTAAGTTGATGTCACACCTTAAGACCAAATCCGATAGGAAATCCTGCAACTTCAGCTTTTAGTGGACAAAAACCTTGTACCAGTATAATTTTTGGCATTTCACAGTCCTTCTTACATTTTCTGAAGCTGACATAACACCGGAAACAATTTCCCATGGGAACTTGAGAAAATAAATTTCAAAGTTAAGAGAATTTGTGAAAACACAGGTAAAATTTATTCATCAATTTCACTTCACCAGTAATTGAAGAGTTTCATATAAACTTCAAAATTTGTTTTCAACATTTGGTGTAGTTGGAAAAGATTTGTTTTAAGAAGATATTTAAAACAGAGGCACAGAAGTTTGCAAAGCGATGTAAATAACCTTCGTACAAAGTTTTTCTCCACTTGTTACTCAAACTTCTGGTGGATTCCTTCTTAATGTTTTTTTATTCATGCTTGAGGGTCTGAGACTCGACTCAAATATTCCATATTTTATAATATTGAATTAGAAAAACAATTCCAAAGTTGTAGCTCTGCAGAGGTCCAAATGTTGTCTTGAACTGGCTATTTTGTGTGTGGAATTCAAAATTCTGACAACTAACCAACACCAACTCTGCTTGGCTGCAGCTTCTTCGTCAGGACAGAAATTATGGGGCTGAATCTCAAACAGCTCAAAGGCTGCCAATGAAATTTTTTATTTAATTTATATCATTTATTTAGCCTAATTACAAAAAATGAAATTTATTTGCAAGTATATGGCTTTTCACATCGCCAATTCAATAAATTACTAGACATCTGCAGTTGGACTGTAGACTTGTGATAAAAATCGCTCAATGCTTCAACGCAATATATTTTCCTTGTTATTTGTCATCTGGGTAAAAATACCATTATTGAACTTATTGTACTTGCCCGTTTTCCACCAGGCCCAGGCTTTCCAGGTCCACCCGGGCTTCCACGCGTGCCCTGCGTATCGAAAGAGATAAAAACAAAAACTTCAGTACAATCAGAACAAAATTAGACAGTTAAGGTATGAAAATGCATCACCATCAGAGATTTGAAGCCAGCGTGACTCGCAAGGAGGTACATCGTACGTAGACATCACAAAAATATAATGCAGGGAAAATTCGTTGAAATATTGTTTCAAGCGAGATTTCTTCAAACCCCAAAATCCAAGACTTTTGTTGAAATTCACTTGCATTACTTTTGCGCAATACTGTAGTTTGCTGTGGTTCAAAGAGCATGTTTTTTGCATCGTTTGCATTGTTGGTTTGTTGGTTTTTCTTAAGGTTTGATCTTTTCTTTTTGATTGAAGAGGAGGGTAAAAACAAGCTAAATTGTGAACAATCGCCGTTTATTTCTGAGTTATTAACATCATAAAGAGTAACAACATTTCAGCATCTCTCTCCTCTGAGGGGTCGAGACGTCATGACTTTTTATCATTAATGTTTATTACAAACTCGATAAATTTCTAAGAAATTACTCATTATCAACATCATATAGTATTAAGTGACATTTTTAACAAACCCCAGATCCTTTGGCTCCCTCCAGACCTCTTCTGCCAGGTTTTCCGGGAGCTCCCTAGAAGATGATTGTATCAAAAGTAGCAAGTTCACGTATTTTAACTAATTCTTTGTTAAGTTTAATATCTGCTTTTATGCAGGTGCTGTAATAAAATAGTACCTTGAAGATTACAAAATGGGGTAAAGTACTTATATCTTAACTTGAGAGATCTACCCATCGGAGGAGTGTGCAGGCAGGTAGCTAAATGGTACTCAGTTTCAAGCGTCCCCATCAACTTATCTTCATTTGTTTAATTAAGAAGCCTAGAGCTAGGCCATGTTAAGTTTCTTGTCCACATATTTCAAAATCAAGATATTCTTCTAGCTATACACTTTATCTCTGAAACAAATTCGGTGAACCCCATTTTGTCTCTCATTTTTGACATTTATGTATAACCACAGTACACAAGTTTGAAACAATCTATATATCAGACAGTTTTCGTGCCAGTGTGCATGTCTTTAAATACAGTATTCTGCAACACTTGATTACTCATTTTTATTTACAGACCTGTTCGCCACGGCGACCAGGAGCACCAGGAATACCAGGACGACCCTTAAATAAAATAAAATAGACAGTCATACAGCTGGAAACAAACATAACTCATAAAATGTCCAAAAATGTACCATGGGTTTGGTATCATATACCGTACCAATGTGCGTTCACTGATCACACTTGAGTGCTTTTAAACATTTCTTGACTTTTCTTCAATAACGTGTGTTTTGAGACATGTTCAGCATTTTCATTACATGTTTTATCTAATTATATAAATGTACGTCACATGCACATATGCACACAAGATTGCTTTTGTTTTGCTTTTTTATCTTTAAAAAAAAATCATAACTTCTGGTCATTCAGAACACAGAATCCAATCACTGTTAAAACTTACACCCTCCATACATTGTGTATCGTATTAACATAACAATAAAGCAGACGTCCTTACACCCAGTTTCAGCGATTCATTTCACGGCTTTTATAACAAATGAAGCAAACGCGCTCTTCATGCAACATCAAAAAACATCTCTGCATTTGTGTGTTATTGATTTGCATCGTATGTCGTAATAATTATTAAGCTAACTGTTCTTCCATACAGCTTCTTGCCGGGATTTGCTGCAACTATTTGTCATTATTTTGACTGATATAATGAACATTGTTGTTGTTGTTGTTGCCACTGTCTTGTTGTTATTGTTGTTGCAGTACATTGTAGTTTGACATGAAATAGTAGCTAGCATTTTCACTTACATCTATTCCAGGATTTCCTATCCGGCCAGCTTCCCCCATAGCACCAGTTGAACCCTGACAGATTATGTTATTTAATAAACCAAGAGTCAAATGTCTCACACAGTACACATTTACTGCAAATTACCTTTCATGCAATAAGTAGTATATAATGGTAATACATTTAAATTAAGTTAGTTTTATTAACATAATACAACAATAATTATCCCTATAGGATTAAACTTTCTGTATTTTAGAACGAGCAATCTGTATTTTAATAACAAGCAACCTTTCGTCGTCCTCATGACAGCATTGTCAAGTTCAAAATGTCTGGTGCGATGATATTTGTGAATAAGATTATACATGTAGATATAAGTGGCAGATAATTCATGGTAGGCCACATATAATCGCCTTCCCCTTTACTCCTTAAATGCTAACCACAAGCAAACAGCAGTAATTAAATGTTAACCGCAAGCAAACAGTAGTAAATAAATGCCAACTGCAATTTAACACAATATTTAAATGCTAACCGCAAGCAAACGGCAGTAAATAGAAGCAAACTGCAGGGAGACTATATGGGTGGCCTACCATGAATTATATCCCATATAACTTGAAAAATGCGGTTAAGTATTTATGAATGTAATTAAAATCAGAAGTACATTGTAAATTTGTAATGATGTAAATTTATAAGTAATTGTACATGTAGGTGTAATTCGTGCACAGCATTTAGAAAGAACATAACTTTTGTAATTTTTGACAAAGCAACCATTTGTAAATAAAATGTTCTAATCTCACCGTCACCCACTCTGATCCACAAACCCAAGTAATCATTATATTAATTAATAATTAACGCAAGTTACCATCATGCAGCCCAGACCCAAGTGGTGTGAGTTTTTTATTGTGCATGTCCTACTAATAATGAAGTATGAAGAGGGGCAGAACCCAAGGCTAATACCCATTAAGGCCCATGAGGCAATGTCTAATAGGTCCAGTGATGTGAGCAGCTTAAAGGTGTCAAGGATTTACAGCATCTCTCATGAAATACACTGGGTGAAAAACTGGTCCATATATAACTCCACAAATTACCAGCAGATTTCCACAATAGTTAGTTATTACATTGTATCTTTGTTTATAAATCATATGGCCGCAGGCTATGAGATTAGTTGAAGCTAAATATGCTGTCCAGTGTATGAGCAGCAATTTAAAAATGCCTCCTCCCCTTTACCCACTAACCAGAGGCAGGCTCTTAGCTAGGATCTACTGAAATGACCAAGTTATAAAGCAAATATGAATAATTAAACAATTTTCTTTTAAAAGTGGGTGTCCACAGGACACCTGGATGTCCATCTGGCTAAACGCTTGACCAGAGGTTATCTTGACTAAGAATTGTTAGCTGATTCAGCCTTAGACCTCATCAACTAGAATCTCCTAGAAATCCCCAGCTCAATATTATCTAATTGTTACCTGTTCTCCTTTGAGGCCAGGAGGGCCAGTGGCACCATTAAGGCCAGGATTGCCTGGTTCACCACGTTGGCCGCGTACACCATCGGGTCCTGGCTCGCCCCTGGATCCACGAGGGCCTGGTTCACCTTGAAAGCCATTGTTCCCTTTTGGTCCGATAGCTCCAGCAGCACCTTCAGCACCCTTTAGTCCAGGAAGACCCTAACACAGAGAAGTGTGACATTGTCAATTCTGCCAGGACAAACTGAATGCATTTTATAGGCCAGTCATTGTTATGAACATGTCTGTGGTTGACTTGTGTTACCACTGTCAGATTTTTACCACTTTACCACGATTTGTTGTTTACCACAATCTGTGGACTTGCTCGGCTGCGCCTCGTGAGTCCACAACATTTTGACCAACAATGTAATGATGCAAATCGTTGTGGTAAAATTGCTTTTGTAGACCACGCTAAACCACATTCAATTTGTTAAATGTGTCTGTCCTCTAAGTCTTATTGATGCTGACGACTTTAGGAATCTACAATGTACAAGTTATTTTCATTTTCTCCATAAGGAAAAACCTTTAAATTTAAAATTGTCATCAGCCTACATCGGTCTGCAGAGTCTATTAACAAATTGACGTCAGCTTTTTATGGTTCTGTCCTCTTATTGATAATAAATTGCGTCATAACATTGTCAAAGTGGCTGTGGAACCACGAGCCACAGGCGAGTGGTTCCGCAGTAAACTTTGACAAAGTTATGACGAAATTTATCATCAATAAGAAGACAGACACAAAAAACTGATGTCAATTTGTTTTTTACAATGACAAGACCCCAAAATGGTCAAATGTCACGAATAAATGAGGGAAAAAGACGCTGTAAACTTGCCGTAAACAAAGATAAGTGAATTTTATTCAAAATGACGCGAACATTGTCAATAGCTTTTCTCGCTTTTTGATTGCTACTTAAAAAAGTCCATAAAATCTTATTGTTTAAAAAGCTGACAGTTTGACAGCTGAAAATTAAACTCGAAAGCTTGCATAAATTAAAATTTTATCTGTCTGTACTCTTATTGATGATAAAAATGAGCCAATCAGCACACAAGAAATTAAACAGTTATTGTAAAATTTATAACTGAATTGCACATTGGGAACTTGTTTAGTGGTTGGAGGTACAGAGCCTGATACCTATTAGAATTTACCTGTTTGCACTACCGACATTAAGCAAAGGCATTTTATGATGAAATGGCACTTGACAATGTGGAATATGGTTAACCCATACAATTGTTGAGAGCTAGCCATCTTCAGGTCAGTGAAATTTAGGCCACGCTAAGCCCTACTTAGGCTAACTGGATTACCATTTAGGCTAACCTAAAGCACTATTTAGGCTAACAGGGGAGCTATCTGTGCCATCCATAGTGACAATTATTTTGTCATTTCAAGCATGCCCTTATCTTCTCAAAAAGAACTCTCGTGTGCTTACACAAGAACAGACTTGATCAATTAAAGTTGCATGAAAGTAAACCTGAATTGCAGTGTTCATTTTAATATATTGAATATTATACATACCGCTGGTCCCTCTGGTCCAGGTGATCCTGCAGGGCCAGGATTTCCCTTCAAGCATAAATCACAGTTTTTAATTTCAGAGACATATTTGTGAAGCCATGTTAAAAAGATTTTTAATTTTGATATGTTAATTTTCTTCTTTTGAATTTTTATTTTTACACCCCCCAACAAGCAAGGGGTTTAAATGAAGACCATCATCTTAAGTGTCAAGATATGTAAAACTCTTGCCAGGGTGGGGTAAATTAACCTAATCCAAATTGACTTAGATCTAGTGTGTCAACCCCTACCTGCATCCTTTGGTGGCAAAATATTGCTTATGTTTTATCCTGTAGCATCAAACGACTTCTCAATATAATTACAGGACTTATATACCATGCCATAGAAAATACAACCAATCAGAATACAGGAAGGCTGTTGTTTATTCAATGGTATTACATTCAACCTTCCCATCATGCGCCATGTGTATGTCCCTTTAATTGTGTTGCCCACTGTATTTTCTATGGCATGGTATAAAGTAGTTATGCAATGCTCTCTCGTGATATACCATGGAACATCCCACTTGTCACTTGCATCTTCTTGGTAAACACACTCCCCTAAAGGCTCATGTGAACAGCAAGAAAATTCAAGTGACTCATGGGTCAAATCATGGTTACATCACTTGAAAGCATTGCATAACTAGTACATACTCAGACATCTTAAGAATCCGACAGACAGCCTCCACCATTTTCAATGCCATCAAAATTATTGACATTGCATGGTGAAGCAAAATCTTATTGCTTTATTGTAAGTTGTGTTCCTGAAAGTATGTTTAATTATCTTTCGTAGTTTCACGGTGATTTCTTTCCTTTCGACATACTCCAAATAAAATATAATAGCCAAACTCTTTAAAGAAAGCTTTTTTGCATTTTCAAATTTCCAAGGATCTGGCATAATTTGAGTGTCACTTTTCCAACCCTGTGAAAACAATGATAACAGTGTCCTGATCAATGGTTTTAACATAAACCACTGTGCATGGTCTATAGCAGGGTAAGCCCAGGTAAGCAATCCTTGTTGTTGTTGTTTTTTTATCCTTCATCAATCTGTCCAAGTTGGACAGAACAGAACAAAAATGCGAATACTCATCCTTACAACTTGGCCAAAATCACCAGGATTTCCTTGTCGTCCACGCGGTCCTTGGTCTCCCTACAAAAAAAAAGCATTCAATAAATTTATACTTGACTCCTGACCCCTATCTAATAACTTAAATCTCGCACTCAACTCAAACCAAAATTGACTGAAAAACAACAGCATCCTTTATTTACCCTCGGCAGTGTTTATAGCACAAAGGCTAGTGGGGCCGAGCAAACAACTGAAACAAATAATTCAAATTGAACATAACACTGTCAAGAATCCCAACTGGTCGAAGGCAAACCAGTTGGCTACTTACAAGCGTGGCCAAGGATTTGAACTCGAGGCTACTGTGAGACAAATCCAGGTAGTTTTCAGAGCGGGACTTGAACCTAGGACCGCTGGATTGTAAGTCCGACGTGCTGACCACTCAGCCACTCTGCCTCCTGTGATTTCCCCTGGGTTTGGTTGCTACACTGTACATTTATTGCCATGTTACCAACAGTATCTAGAGCCTCTCACTGACTCAAAGTGAGTTTTTTAATCCATTCAGGTCATTTTCTCCCTTTGTTTACAGAAACCTCACATGATGACAAAGCATCATGAGTCTAAGTTCTCCAGAATCACTGACAGAAATAAATTGGCTGTTAAGCATCAGATCATTTCTGATCAGAATGAAAAGAATGGTACGTTGTTGAAACTATGCTCTGCAGTAGACCACTTAATTAAGTATTTGTATTCTTCTGCTGTTTTCCCATGCAAATTATTCCCTTCAGATCATGATATGATTTGCTATGTTGGCAAATATCATTTCAGTTTTTCTTTCTCTTTGGAATAAGCATGATCGAAATGCACACACCATTTTGTTCACTAATTTCTGGCCAGTAACATTCACATACATGCATCTCTACCACCTTTAACTACCACCTTTCTTCACTTCCCTAAGCATTACCAGAATTAAGCCAACTATATATTTATCACTGATAATCTAATAAAAGCTAACATGTGTACTTTATGGAGATACCAAATAGAAACGAAAATGAACACAAACCTTAATACCATCAATACCATCCCTTCCTGGTTCACCTGTTGGTCCCTAAATAACAAAACATCTCAACATTAAAAAGTGCTCTAGATACAGTTTACACATACCTAACTACATAAAATTTTTGCTACAACTTACAGGCAACAGGTATTTGTACTACACAAATTATTTGGTACTGATCGGATAAAATTGGTACTTGTGTCCACTTTTGCCTATGCTAATGGACCACGAGATGAGAGAGGTAATTCAAGCACGAGTGACAATTGAAACAGGCCTCAACAGGTACCAATTTTATCCAAACCATACCAAGAATCCTGTGTGGTCTAAGTGGGTCTTTAATTTCATGACAATGAATGGGCAATACTATTTCAATACATTTAAATCGACCAAGATTTAGAAAATTTGTTACAGTGCAACTACTCCAACAAAGGCCATCCCTGCAATTTTATTTATTTTTTATTTTTTTATAATTTTTTTGTTTTGTTTTGCAAAGAAATAAATATCAAAAGGCTCTTTAAACCAAGTCGTAACATTGGAAATGGACATGTTCATAAAGTAAGGGTCAGGTCAAATAGACTTTGAGGAGTTTGTATGCTGCATGCATCGCAGCATAAATTTTTCAAAAATCATTAAAATCTACAAATAATCATTAGGCTATTTTAGGCGGATGACTCAACCTGTTTTGATTGTACAAGTAATGATATTGAGTAATGAGTTCAAACAAAAAATTGAATGTGTTTTACATGTATACAGTACTTATTTGAAGGTAAATAACTTCAATCAACTTAATTTCTATCATGATCTCCTCAACTTAAAAGTTGCCAGCTAGTGAGTCAAGATATTTTCTAATACAGTGGAACCCTGCCTAATGACCACCCCGTGAATATGGCCACCTTGCTATTATGGCCACTTTATTCTGACCTCAACTAAAGCCCAGTCAGTCATATTCTTATTTAAAGAACCCCTCAAATACAGCCACCCTGTTAATACGGCTAGATTTTTGTGGCCCGCTGGTGACTGGATTAACAGGGTTCCACTGTATCTACTTATCTGTCCTTAGGACTTGAGTTGTGATAATTGTAATTAGTGAGTGTGTTCAAAATTCAACTGATTGTGTCAAACACAAACATACACCTCCATGTTGGAGATCATGTATCGTTCATGCACATGTTGTTGAACTTCTGGTGAATTGTCTTGTACTTACACTAACGCCAGGTTCTCCCTGGTCACCTTGGTCACCGCGCTGTCCTTGGGCTCCCTGTTGCATGAATAATACAATATGTTTAATTATAAATATCTGATATCCAGGTAGAAGGACCCAGCATCAAAAGTGGGTTGACTATGTGTTTGGTTCACATCCTTGCTCCAGGGGTTTTTCTCCAGCTCTTCCCACCCCAAAAACAAAACTCTTTGGCTTCCAATGACTTTGATCTAGAATGACTTCAAATCTAGACATGTTATGGATGTGCCACTCCTAATTCCCATTTATCAATTGTGTAATTAATTGCATGCAGTGATTGATTTATTTAAAACTAAAGTTTTTAAATTTTTTAGTGATTTAGACAAGACTGATCATAAATGCAGTGTTTAGATTATTCTATTTTTTTTTTTTTAGTATTGTTTGATTGATTATTGTTTTTTACCATGTAATTTATAGATACTGATGATGGGTTTATACCAGCGTCTTCCTCCTGGACTTCGCTGATCGGTCTTTCAGTTTTAAATAAAGCTTTTATTACTGTTATTATTATTATTATTATTATTATTATTATTATTATTATTATTATTTAAATTTTTTAGTGATTTAGACAAGACTGATCATAAATGCAGTGTTTAGATTATTCTATTTTGTTTTTTTTAGTATTGTTTGATTGATTATTGTTTTTTACCATGTAATTTATAGATACTGATCATCGGTTTATACCAGCGTCTTCCTCCCCGACTTCGCTGATCGGTGTCCTGAGAATTTTTACAGTTGTAATTTTTTATAAGCCACTAATAAACATTATTATTATTATTATTATTAATTATTATTATTATTATTATTATTATTATTATTATTGTAAATTGATTATTGTAAACCGTTTATCGTTTTTTCCACTCTGTAATAATCTCCTTTTTCTGGCCTAGACATGTACTGAGCCATCTCCTCTCTGAAACCACCTCCCAATCTTTAACCTATAATGCATTTTCCTTCATCAATATCACAAACAGCAGGCTGTACTTTTATCATATCAGTCCAGGCAACACTTCATAAACAACACCAAAGACCTTTAGCAAATATTTACTGAAACTTAAACCTAATATTAATTGGAACCATCCCTATCCATAAAGCACCCCCCCCTAATGTGATCAAAATAAGTAAGCACTATGCATCCCCCCCCCAAAAAAAAGAACACAGGCATTAATAACAGAAAAGTCATATGTGCTGACTTGAATGTTTTCATCTCATTGGTGTCATTTTCTCAGTCTACTTTGTAAGATACAGTTGACTGGGCCACTTGAACTATTTCCCACAGCACAAAACCCACAAACAAATTAATGTAGCAAAAAAAAAAAATCAGCTAGCCAAAACCAGACCATAAGAGGTATTTTCTTTTACCCTACAGTGCACAGGGACAAGCAACATTTGAGAGCTACTTGCCCAAAAGGTGAGCGGGAATTCAAATATTTTTCAAGCCCTGAGAAAGTTGACAAAACTACCCTAATGAACTGAACTATCAGAAATTCTTACCTGGTCACCCTTTACGCCACGAAGACCACGTACTCCAGGAATACCAGGAGATCCCTAAACAAGGTGGGGCATGGTTAATAACATATAAACATAGTAGTTAATACCATGGTTGGTAACTCAGGGCAGTTTTCATTGGAGTGTCATAATAAATTAAGCAAAACCAAAGTAGTCACTGACTGAAGAATACATCAGTGTTGCTACCATGAGCACGGAAAATGCATGCAATCGTAAGAGAAGATTGGTTTTGGTTTTACTTCTAAGTGGATGACTAATTAAAGTGGTACAAGTTTATTTAATCCATAATAATGAAAACTAAGCAAATGCCAAAAACGTTTGTTTAACACTTAGTAAAAACCACTCTACCTTGTAACATATATCACAAAATCATAAAAATGCAAAAACCAGTCCTTTTTGTGGTTACTGGCTTTAGCCAGTCACCAATATGTCTTTAGGTCTGTTAGCAAGCAAGTAAAATAGTCTCTGACTTTTTGGAAGCTTTTGGAACATTATGAATCTCACGAACGTAACTGAGACCAAAAACACATCAAGATTTAATAACTGGTTTTCGCCTTTTCAATGCAATTAGTTTAAATGAAAATAACTGCTTTTTGTCTACAGCTTAAAATTGTAATCCTTTTGTTCAATATCACATTTTGAGTAAAACAATTTCGAGTTTAGTGTTGAGTTAAGCAGAAACACCTGCTACAAACCTCTATGATCTCTCACAGCTGACTGCTACGATAGTAAAAACACAGGACATTGCAGACTCGTTTTCCCACTCTCTGTGACATGACGTGACATTGTTTGGATAATCATATATGTTGCCAGTGAGTAGCCGCAATACTTTCTCAGTTTTCGATCTATCTTTCTCATTAACCGGGCACAGCTTTCACTGAATGTGCAAAATTTTTTTTTTGACGAATCTTGCCGGAGTTTGAGCAACTGTCCGGCAAATAAATGCACATTCTCAAGTTGATGTTTATTTCATTTTTCCATGCTACCCGGAACTTGATGTTAAGTTTGTTTTATTATTACTAGTTGTTTCAATTACAAATGGAAATTGAAATATTCTTTGACAGGACTATAAAACCCTCTGCTGGCAAAAANTGATGATTGTTAAGCCTTCATCAGATCTCTGATGCAGGGCAAAACGGAGGTCGCTTGTACCCAAAATCAGAGGGTATCTTTGCCATAAATTTCAATTTAAAAAAAAAAGGATAGAAATTTATAGCCATTCCTTGAATGAGAGCAGTACAGGATGGATCACACAGCCATAACTTTATACACATAGTCCTTAACAACGGCCATTTTTAAGCTTGTTAATCTAGAGAACTAAATAATGAGATCAGCAATTTAACAAATTGACGTAGGTTTTTCATGCACCTGTCCTTTTATTGACAATGAATTTTGCCATAACATTTTCAAAGTAGCTGTGGATCCACGAGGTGATAGCTGAGTGGATCCGCAGACTACTTTGACAATGTTATGACAAAATTCATTGTCAATAACAGGACAGAAGCATGATAAACTGATATCAATTTGTTTTTTTACAATAACAAATTGACAAATTGTCCACTCTGGCTCATTGACGTATCACATAAATTATAAATTCATGTGTCTGTCCACTTATTGACAATGAAAATTAACCAATGAGCGCACAAGAATTTCTGCAGTTATCATATAAAGTCTATTTTAAAATGAAATTCAGAGCTTACCGGTGCACCAGCAGCCCCAACAAGACCTGCTTCACCCGGTTCTCCTTGCGATCCCTGCAAGTTAACATGACTTCAATTAAATATATTCTCAATGCACAGCCAATTACAAATCACATGTTCAACAAGCACAAAACAAAGCAAAAATGTTATTCCTACGTCTGGTCCTCTGGGTCCTGGTATTCCAGCCTGTCCAGGTGGTCCCTGTTGCAACCAAAATAAAATGTATAAATAATATATTATATAATAATAAATAATAATATATTAAATAATATTAAGCATTTAAATATAAAAATAAATGCAAATAAAAATTCAAGAACAAAGCTAACCTGATATCAATAAAAGCTAACTTAAAACAATATGTCTTTTATACGAATACAGCTGCTTAAACCAATTAGCATCCGCCCCGTTCCTAACTTCTAAAGGCAGTTGATTCCATATCCTCAGCGCTGCTACCGCAAATAATAATAAATATAACTATAATAACAAAAATTACGACTTTCCATCATATGATGAAGTACAATTTACATCATAAATTTACAATCATATGGTTTTTAAATATTACTAAAATAGACACAAAAATTCAATAAAAACTCAATCACCAAGCTAACCTCATATTCTCCTAGAGACTTTTTTCTTACATCCAGATGCTAATACCAATATTTAAATGGTAGTAAAAGCTGCACACCAACAAACTCGAAGATTCAAATCAATAAATTAAATTAAATTCTCACCTAAATTGACATCTACAATAACTTATGCTGATGATTTTCTTTATTCTTGTCACCTGAAGTGCTTGACAATAACTGACAAAATTAGGAGTAAAAAAGATGTTGATCACTTACAGCATCACCTTTCTCTCCCATAACCTCTCTTACTGCACTTGCTGGACCTTTAGAGTCACTAGGTCGTACGAGCTAAATAGGAGGGGAAAATGTTGTAAGGAAATAAAGTAACACCTGAACATAATTAGGTTTTAATTATATCGCTGCCCACTAGTTGAGGGATGAAAGACATGAAACACGTTGTTCTCAGGTTACTACAAAAACCACCAAACCATGGAATGGACCCAAATTTTTGTACAGTGACCACTCCCACTTTCTTTTGTTGACCCGCTGACTCCTTCGTGTTGTTGTGACTTGACTGTAAGAGAAGTTCAAACTAAAGGTGTGGAAAGGGAGAGAAGCAGGTAAATGTACTATAAATAAATGTCCATGTTGATCATACAGGAGACTGGAGGATTCAGTCAATCAGATGATCCAGGAGAGTTGGGATAGATAATTTCTGTAGAGCAATATTAACAGCGTGGACATTTTCTGCTTTAATCTCTGATGTCAACTCAGGGGAAGAACTGCATGGAAAGATCGGTGTCCATTTACTCCAATCCCAACTAATGAAAATTTGAACTTTTGAATAGGTAACTATACTGTACATAAAAATCATCAACGAATTGAGTCTGAGAGCCAGCACCTTAAAAAAGTTTGGTGAAGCCAGGCAGCAATTGGGCATGACCCAATTAGCCTGGCCCTTAAGGAAACACCTACATATACTCAAAGGCCTGCAAGCAAAAAAGTGTGAATGCATTTGCATTAACCACAAGGTGCCCCTGACAAAGGGCTCAAAGGTCACATCTGAGCCAAGTAGGGGGTACCCTGCTGAACAGCATTGCCTTGACATTAACCTCGCCTAATTATATTTAGCCACATTATATATTACAAAAAAGCAGTTTCTTACCCTTCCAATCTCAAGAGGATCTGGTCCACCATCGGGTCCAGGGTCACCAGTTGGTACTGCAATAATATCCCCAGGGGGTCCAGGAGGCCCTGGCGGACCGGGAAGTCCTGCTGCTCCCTGTGCACCATTGTTTCCAGGAGTACCCTACAAAGGGACAACAAAGAGCTACACGTGATGCACACAGCAGAAAATGTACCTTTATTCTTTGAAAATCCTTCACTGAAGTTCTTTTAAAAGAGCTCATGATTAGGAAAGTTCAAGATGATTTCCACAGAACATTCGAGCAATAATGGCAAAAACTAAGTTACCAAAAAAAACCTCATGGCGTGGTAGTATTCTGAATACAATTAAGAAGACCTTATCGAGACTGTAGCTCTCAAGCTGACCCCACAAGAGAAAATTGAACTTGAAGTTATCGATATTTCAATTGAAACAGACATTTCATGTTAGTTATAAAAACACTTAAGCACACACTTATTTAACACTTAAGCATTCTTACGAGGTTTGACATTAACTTTCTGGAGAATGCTTGAGAGTTTAATCTCAGGGTCACTTAGAGAAATGAACTAAAGTGAGCTGTTTTAAATAGTATTGTGCAGTACCAGAAAATATCCATACTCCTCCCACAGAAGGGAATTGAATTTCCTGGGGGGGGGGGGTTCTTTAAGACTGTGGGGGAGGTATGGATATTTTCTGGAACTACACATTTCATTTTATTCATTCATGAGTACATTTTCAGTAAATGTTTGCACTTATGCCACAGCACTTAAATGAGTGTTCCAAAAATTGTCACACCATCTTAATAATGGGGTAATCTGTCATGCATGTTGCTTAAGATCATTTTTCGTGAACCAAAATAACAAATCACATTTTGCTTGCATAAATGACATCAGCAATTCAGAGATCAAACATGTTGGATAACAGACAATGAAAAAATAAATAGCAGTGTCAGCACAGATCTTAACTATACAGAGTTCATTGCAACCAATTCAACTTAATGGAAAAACAATAACATTAAATTCACAAAATTACAGAACTTGCATGTCTTTGCATTATCATTTTGGTATGCCACTTATAGGTATGACAAAATATAAAATTTATATGGCTGCCAAAAAGCTAACAGGAACATTCCAGAGGGCTGCTGAGACCAAGAGCAAAAAACTCCTCTGGGCAGGAGGCGGAGTATAGATATCCTGTTTCCTGAATGAATATGTCACATTTACATGTACTCTGGGTGTACAAAGTAGACACTATTTTTAATTACTGGCTCTCCACGGTTTCCGACTAATCCCACTACACCTGGAGGGCCAGGCTCACCCTGCAAACATCCAATTACCAAATAGGTCAATAACACATGAGAGAAAAATGGAATTTATCAAAGGACATCATAGTTTTGTGAAAACAGATCCAATATAAGTGTGCCAAAATGGGGGACATGTTGTCACTCGTGGACTAAATTTGTGTCTCTAGTTTCTGTAACTTGTTACTGCAGAATCGTGCATGACCTGCATAAATTTATTTTCTGAGAGACATTGCGGTGGTACAGTCTAGGCCTAGCCTGAAGAGCCTGGATGACCACACTAGCTTTTTGCACAAATTTTCGTAAACAATTTTTCATTATACATTTTACAGTTTATATGTTTAATACAGCTTCATGGACTTTGTAATCTCTATGAGGTGTTTGCAATGTTTCAAGGACACAGATGTAAGTTTTAAATATACTTTGAGTCATTTGTTTTCTGTATTCGTATCATTTTAGTTAGGACATTGTGCCCACTTTTAAAACACTAGCCTTAGCTTTTCTAGTTTTTGTTATCGCACCGATGCATTGACACACTGCATCGCACCTCATCGTACCACACCTCGCTTTATCTTATGTATGGTTCTACCAATGGTGTGCGTAAACAAACTCGTAACGTTATAAGTTGACAGTTTTGCTATCATATGTGGCAAGGGCTTCAACACCTTGATTGGAATAACCTTTAATGACAATCACCTAGTACTGAGGTTTTGACTTTATGGACTGAGGTGATCGTCTGACCTCCCAGGTCTCATTTCCTACGCATATATTTACCATTAAGAAATGAAAATGTTGCACTTAAACAATGACCTAATAAATGTGGTTCCAGCTTAAACAGAAAGTTTGAGACAAAGTTGCCCTCTTCATCTTTGTCATATAAACTTTTGTAACATGCCAAGATAAATCTTCTCTACTAAAGAATGTGTCATCAATTTTATTGTCAAAGGCATGGATTTATTTGTGGACGAATTTGAGATTATTTGGTGAATCCCTGGGTTTATTCCAAGTCGTCTATACGAGAAACATGGTCACCTAAAAATTACCCAGCCCAGAAAAAAGGCCAATCTTGATTTTAAAAAAGGGTAGGAACTTTACATGTATACAGTACCGATCAGAAGAAACCTAACAGGGATTGCTTGACCGAACTCGTTCTGTTTCCTTTCCACACGCGTTCCCATTCCCGTTCTGTATCCATTCCGTATCCGTTCTGTATCCGTTCCGTATCCGTTCCGTATCTGTTCCGTTCCCATTCTGTATCCGTTCTGTGCTGTTCTGTTCCTGTTCTGTCAGCATTCCATCAGTAAGCATTCTTGAAACTCGTTCAGAGGAATAAGGTTTCCAAGAACCCATTTAAAAGATTAGTGACACTCATTTGCATTTCATAGCATGGGTTAAAACTGTCGCCTTTATGCGAGAATACGGACAGTAAACTTAACTTTTCGTGGTGAGAATATCAGTCCAGTTACTCGAAAAATACGGGAAGATGGTATTGTAACTTCAAGGCTAGTTTATAGTATGTCTTTTTCCAAAACGATACAAAGTGACTGGTAATCTGTGTGATTGCCCGAGGAAAGGAAGAAGTAACCCAGCTTGCCAAGCACTTTTAACGCCATCGATGAAAAAATTCAAGCAAAAGATGAACTTTCGGCTCTTGTATTTACACGAATACCTTTAGTGAGATTTAACTTCGAAGTATCGGCGAAAACTGTTCGGCAAATACGAATGCGGTAGAAACTTANGTCAAACAGGACTTGCTTTAGGTTTGGTCAGTCAAACAGGACTTGCTTTAGGTTTGGTCAGTCAAACAGGACTTGCTTTAGGTTTGGTCAGTCAAACAAGACTTGGTTTAGGTTTGTTCAGTCAAACAGGACTTTCTTTAGGTTTGGTCTGTCAAACAGGACTTGCTTTAGGTTTGGTCAGTCAAACTGGACTTGCTTCACAGTAACCGCGAGTCTCCCTTCAACATAGTCACTTAAAGCTTACAATGTTCATCATCTTGACTTGGAGTAAGTTGTGCATTCACGAGCAAACTAAAGAGAATTCATTAGACTTTTTAGCACCATTTTGACTTGCTTGTAACAAAATGCATGCACAGTTAATTGTTAATAACTCTTTAGTACAACCTAAAATTCTTAACTTACCTACACAATCCATTTCACAGCCAGTATCACAACATTTCAGCCCCTCTACACAGTTACTGTCATCGGTACAAAAGTTTTCAGCTTCCGCTGGACATTCAAAATCTGATCCAAAATCTGGACATGTGCCTGGTCCTGGAAACAGATTTTAAAACTCGCTTTATGTATGTGTCTAAACCTGTTGTAAGCATATTTACACTTGAACCCAGACAGTGTTCCTAATTAAATAAGGAGCAGTGTGGTAAATTTCTTTGTGATTGGGACCAAAAATGACCTCAAAAAGGAGGGTTGGATAAATGTAACAAAATTCACAAAATGTGGCATTGGTTTAAACCAGCAAGCTAGCCTGATCTGAGCATTGATAGGACGGTTTTAAGGTCATGTCACATTAACTTTATACAGTTTAACTGAATAATACATGTATGTTCCTCTCTTGGTTGGATAACCATACATTATATATAGAATAATTAATGTGGTTAAATGTAATTTAAGCTAAGTTAAATGCGAAACAATGCTGGTCAGCAGCCTTCCCCTGTTTTGGACATGCGCAGTGGTGTGGGGTCTGCTGGGGGGTCGTGTGGTTTTACAGTGTGGCTTTTGAGGTCAACTCATTCTCACGTGTATTTGTGCCATTTCGACTGTGCTATGTATGAGAAGGAATAAGCAGATTCTGGCCACCCTTTGACACTTCAAAAATATTTAAAGGAGAAGGTCACTCCAGAAAGCTTTCTTTTTTTCACCACCCAAAGCGAGTAAACATTGAGTTTTTCCACTCGCCAAAGTTTCGGCCTCTAAAGTGCCTGCTATCTTGGAGAAATTCGTCTTGAAAGGAGCCCAAAATTTGACTTTAGAGGCCACCATTATGAAACTGTACTTGGCAGCCAAGCCATGTTTATGTGACGTCATTCCATCAAACCTGCAAGGTCAGCAGAATGTATTTTTTTCAACTGATTATCCACTTCACTATCTTCACTGCTATCATTTTTGAGTTTGGAGCACATTTGGTTCGAAATATTACCACTCAAGAGCAGCTATAACCTAGAGAGGTAGTTTTAAAAAAAGGCTTGTTGAAAGCCATGGACAAAATCCCTTGGACAGAATGACATCACAAAAACATGGCCTCGTTGTTCAAGAGTACTATACAAAATAGCACAACAATGTCGAATTTTGGGCTTCTTTAGAGGCAAATTCCATAGGGAAAACCTACACTTTAGAGGCTGAAACTTCGGTGAGTGGCTAAACACAGCGTGAGGTTTTTATTAGCATTGACAAAAAAAAATACATTTTTTGGAATGACCTCCTCCTTCAACAAATGACAACTACACTCTGACGGTGTAATATAGTACATCCAAAGACAAATTTTTTGATATAAGCAACATGGCAAGAAGACACAGGAATTATGGGAATTACATCACGAGTTACATCATGTTACGTCTGCCATCTTAGATTTTTTATGTCAGAAAACCTCTATAGATTTTGAAAAAGTAATCAACATCAATGGAACAAAG